GAAGTGGTGCTGTGGCTCAAGTGGTAGAATGCTAGCCTTGAGCTGAAGAGCTGAGGGACAGCGCTCAGGCCCAGAGTTCAGGCCCCACGACCGGACCCAAAAAAAAATGCATCTTTGTTATTTATGTTTTATTTATTTATGTATTCATTCATTCACTTACTCATTCATTCATTTTGGAACAAGATCTTGCTTGAATTCAAGATCCTCCTTCCTTGGCTTCCTGGGTATGGTGATTACATTCCAGCACACCAGGCTATTCAGGCTATTTTCCCCATGTCCATTTGTGCAGAAGGCACAAATGTTCCCCCCAAATTCCAACAGATGTTAATTTCTTCTATTCTAGTCCTTTCTCCATACGCACATAATCACATACTAACACATATACAGACCATGCATTGTGGGATGGGGCTGTCACTGTAGATTCATATTATGTATTTCCACATCTTAACCTTTCTCCTTTAATACACAAGTTAATTAATTTATAGCAATAAATCTAAGAAATTCTTTCCTTTTTTTTTTGCACCAGTGTGAGGGGCTTGAAGTCAGCATAAGCACTGTCCCTTTTTTGCTCAAGGCTAGCACTCTCCTACTTGAGTCACAAATCCACTTTGACTTTTTGATGTTAAATTGGAATTAAGAGTCTCACACACTTTCTTGCCTGGGCTAGCTTTGAACCCTGATCCTCAGATCTCAGATCTCAACCTCCTAATAACTAAGATTACAGGTGTGAGCCACCAGAGCCTAGCTAGAAATTATTCTTGATCACTGCATAATATCCATGATTTGGATAAACCATTAACTATTCGTATACTAATGGGTATACCTTTTTATTTCCATTATCTTGGTATTGCAAACAACAATGACAAACACCTTGGTGTTGGCATTTCTGTTATGTGGAGTTTTAATGGATATGGTTGGTCTAATTTTCCAAAAAGTCTCTGATTGTTCTGTTTTCCCTCAGAAGCATTGCATAAGTGCCTCTTCTCTTGCATTTCAGCCAACAATGGATGTGAATACTTCTTAGTTCATTAGTTAATTTTGCTGATTGTTACTGCCTATCTCTTCATATAGTCATTGGGTATTTAGAGTTGTTCCTCGATATTACCTATTCCTCTGATATGCCAACTCTCCTTGGTCATGTGCTTTTTCCTTATCACATAATAGGTTCTATATAATACAGACTGTCATATGCTACACTATCCAAACTATCTTTTTTTTTAACTTGATGGTGATTTTGAAATAATCAAGTCTGTTTCCTTAACTGTTGCTAAGTTCCTTAGTTTTATTTCATTTTTGTTTTTGTTTCACAGCATCTTGATGGTAGTTAAGGCTGCCCTCAAATACACTATGCTCAGCTTCCCTAATGCTGGGATTACAAGTGTGTACTATACAGTGTCCTCCAGCTTTTTGGGGGGTATAGAGGGTCGGTCCTAGGGCTTGAACTCTGGGCCTCAGCACTGTCCCTCAGCTCTTCAGCTCAAAGCTAGTGCTCTATCACTTGAGCCACAATGCCACTTCTGGTTTTCTGGTGGTTTATTGGAGATAAGAGTCTCACAGACTTTCCTGCCCAGGCTGGCTTTGAACCTCAATCCTTATATCTCAGGCTCCTGAGTACCT